TGAACCGTGAGATCATGACCTGAGCCAAAACCAAGAGCCAGACGTTTAACCAACCGAGCCACCCAGGTGTCTCCCCCAACCATTAAAAAAAAATAAGATAGTCACCTCTTAGTCTCTAATAAGACCATAGCAGTTATAATATATTGTATATTCCTATGAGTGACTCTGACCCTCACAGCAACACCCCAAAGCAGATATTATAATCCTCATTTTATAGAGGAACAAACAGCGTCTCAGAGAGATGAAAAGTAACAGCCCAGGTCACAAAGCCAACAAGTGACGGAGGTGGAATCCTAGCTCAGTACTATCCATCCAGGAGCGTCATGTTCTTTTTCCTACTGTAGTTTAGATGGCTTACATATATGTGCTTTTAAAAACTGAACTTGAGTGCTAATATCAGGGAGAGTTGTCATAACTCTTGTCTAACTCTCTTAATACCCGAGCTCCTTTCCTCAACAAATGGTTCAAAGCCCGTGGTCGGAAGCCATCAGCGCCCGTCAGTTCACTACGTCACAAAGCAACCAGTCAGGTTTTGAACAGTTCTGATCCTTAGAGCTCTGTGTTCCTCCAAATGATTTGTCATTTGGTTTTACTGAGAGACGTAGGAGCCGAACATAATCATCTGTCTTCTACCTAAAACCTCTGCAGATGGCCACCGTGCCTTCCCTGACTCTCTTTCCCGGCAGAGCATGGCATGGTTTAGACTTCCCCAACATCCTCATAGCCTGCTTTAAACCATGGTTCCTTGCAGAATCTCCATTTAGTAGCAAGTCTTTATAGTGCGTTCTAGCACAACAATGAGCGTGCCCTAAACACTCTGGCATCAACCTTGCTGTTGTCAGTCTCCTTGCTTTCTGGTAATTTCATACCACTACACCATCACCCCTCTGCACCTCATCCCCACCCTCCCCAAACACTATGTTCCTAAGTTACCAGGTCCAAAGAGTCTTAACACAGACACCTCTTCCAACACTTTAATTTCAGGAGCTCTCTCTGGAAAACCCTTCGAAGCACAAGTTTGGATGCTAAGTCAAATGTATGGGGATTGTTTTCTTTGAGTTTGGCAAATAAATTAAAGGCAAAGGCAGTTAGCTCTGCACGCCCCAGGACAGCGCCCTTCTCTCCTGTCCCCCAGCGGAGGCAGACAAGGGCCCTCTTAGGGTGCATGGAACTACGCGCGGGGCGGGGCGGGGACCAGCGCGCCAGCAGTGGGGCGGGCTGAGGGACTGTAGCGACACGAAGGCGCCACCGGCCTCGTCGCCAGCCGCCCTCGCAACCGCCCGGAAGACAGGTATTCAAAGCAAACCGGAGAGCACCCGCTCAGGCGCGGGAGTCAGGAAGGAGCGGCTATCACCCGGTGTTCCTCGGCGGCAGGTGCCCAAGCCTCGCGTCAGCACCATGGACAGCGCCCGCGAACAGCTTCAGGGACGCTTGGACGCCGCGGGCTTCTGGCAGGTCTGGCAGCGCTTTGACGGAGAAGGTGAGTCGAGCAAGCCATCTGCACACACAGGTGTAGACGTGGCTCCAGCCCCTCTGAAAGGACCCAGAGTTTCCCCTTCCCGTACATTTTTCCTCGCAGGGGAAGTTGTCTTCCAGCATTGTTCAAGCCTCACAGATGTTAGGTATACTGGAATTACAGATCTGGATGTCTGTGTAAGTTCTGGACTCGGCCCCTTCCCAATCTGTGTGTGTGTGTGTGTGTGTGTGTGTGTGTGTGAAGTTCAGGGTGGAGGGAGGGACTCGGTCCCCTTCCCAATCTGTGTGTGTGTGTGTGTGTGTGTGTGTGTCTGAAGTTCAGGTTTGCCCCCCTTCTCAGTCTCTGTGTGTGTATATCTAAAATGATATGTCATGTATAATGACAAAGATCATTACATGTATTTGAGGCTTGAGACTGACATGCAGCTATCTGAAGTCCACCCTCCCTTATTGTGCTCTTCAAAGGGAGGATGAATTTTACCAACTTCCAAAAAGACACTACCCACACCCACCCCGCAAAAGAACTACCTAAAAAGAAAATGGAACTCTTTAATGTGTGCTTTATCTTTATTAATAATTCAAACAACCCTAAAGAAAATGCCTAACATGTGTTTTGACTCTGCAAACTAAGATTTGATAATTACATCTGTTAAATTGTTCCAAGCTTCCAAATCCTTGGGTTGGACTTTTCTTCTAAAATTCATGTTTATCGGTGGATTCAAATGTATGTATTTAATCGCTCTCCTTTTCGAAATATTCCTACAAACCCAGCACAGAGCATTAGCTCCTGAATGTGTGTTTACTTTTCAAATCCATGACTTCTAGACGTCAGATATTGGCACTTAGTTGTTGGAACAGTAAAGAACGTATCCATGGGGATTTTACAGAGTGTGAGATTAAAGACAATTTAGATAAATCCTAAATGTCACGTGGTATTTTGTGGAAGTGACTACCATTTGTGCATCTCTTGTTGCATTTAGAGAAAGGATACATAGAAGAGAAGGAGCTTGATGCTTTCTTTCACCATGTCTTGACGACACTGGGTACTGATGTAAGTACTTGTGCCACTAAGCATTAATTTATGTGCCTTTAGCAACATGCAAGGAGCATCCAAGTCTCATGTCGATTTGCGCCCATGAATCCCATCTGACCTCTTTTCTTCTTTGCCTGCGTGTGATTTTCTCCATCTCCTAGCAACACGGAGGAATTGAGGCAGGTTTTATAAAAGGTGCAACTGGAGCATTGGGTGTGCTGGTCACTGACTTTCACTGTGACATCTGTCATCCACTCAGAGACCTTAACTATAAATTCAAACACCTCTGTTTTGAACGTTTCCTTGGTTATGTCTCTGCTAATGGATTTCAACTTGGAGATAAGGCAGCTCACTTTGTTCAAAAAGGTGGAAGAGAGGTTAAGAGCTTTGAGGTTCTGTGTGTTTAGTGCATTTGATACTCCTTTGATAGCAAACCGCAGACAACCACTTAAAATCACTTTCCCTTGTTCATTTTAACAGAAATGATTTTTCTTATAGAAAAATCTTTTCATATAGGTATAGATTTCTTAGGGAATAACAAACCAGAAAATAATCAATATGCCCAGAGCCCAGGTATAATAAATGTATCGAGTCCATCATTTACCCTGATGGTAAATCTGGCCTTGAGAGATGGAGATTCACTTTTAAAGATCCCTCTACTAAAGCAGAGGAAAAACTCACACCGAGCCACACCAGCCTAG